AACAGAGAAACCAAGTTCCTGAGCAGCCCGCAGTCAGTGCTAACCCTCAAGACTGAGGTGTGAGCCGGGTGGCAGTGGCACACACCTTTCATCCCAGCACTTGGGAGGCAGAGGCAGGAGGATCTCTGTGAGTTCGAGGCCAGCCTGGTCTACAGAGTGAGTTCCAGGACAGGCACCAAAACTACACAGAGAAACCCTGTCTCGTAACCACCCTCCCTCCACCACCAAAAAAAAAAAAAAAAAAAAAAAAAAAAAGACTTAAGGTGTGAAAACTCAGGTTCCCCAAGACACTCTATCCAGGTAGTTAACTGCAGAGGAGCCCACTTGGGGTTAAAGGTCAACTTTGTGGCTTCCACCAAACGAAGACCACAGGAAGAAACATAAATGGAGGGAGCCATAATGAAAGGGCCCTAGCAGGTGCCACAGCCTTGGTTCCAGTTCCATTCAAGTGCCTCTGAGGCCCCAACCTGAATGTCAAGGAACCTGACAAGGAAAGCAGCCCTGCTCCCCACCTGGTATGCCAGCCCCTCTCCCCCAAAACTGATTCACTGCATGCACATCAGTGTCCTTCCTTCAGGCTGCTGACACTGACCAGCCTGACCTTCATTAGTATTCTATCATTTCCCTGTCTCCATAAATGGAAACATTTCCCGCACCTGCCAGAAGTCCCATAATTCCAATAGAACATACAATCTGTCTTCTTGTCAAGAATAAACATGCCTACTATGCAGCAACCAGCAGATAAGGGTCAGATCAGCAGGGACACACCCTCCAGCTCCCAGGCCTAGCACACTGGCAAACGTAGGGCCAGTGCAGCCCACGGAGGCCAACTTAAATTTGAAGTCAGCAGTTACAAATTAGGCCTGTACAAAAACTGGATTCTGGGTTTCTTTTGAAAAAAGTGGGCAAGATTTGGCAAGCCTGTGCCCACGTTCACAGGATACAGGTGACTTCTATGAGAAAGGCTGTTCTCTTGAGACATGGGAACTGTCCTTGACACTGAGACAGCCTAGGGGAGTCCTCTCTTGGGTTACAGCAGCTGGGTCACAGGGCTCCTCTGAAAGACCTCTGAGGTGGTGGCCCTGCCAGGTCAACAAGTGCGTTTGGGAAGACTGCCAGGGGTTACATGGGAGTGAGCAAGCATCTCTCCCCAGACAGGAAGGGAATCCTGCTCAATGGTAGGCAGTGGTGGTCAAGTTCCCAACTGAGTGGACAGCCCAGACCCTCCCGGGGGACCAGATACCTAGCCATGAGGTGGAGCACAGACAGGCAGAGGGGGAACAGATGTGGATGTGCCCTAGACAACTGGGCACTGGCAACTGAGGTACAGTGCGTTCCTTCCCAGGATGCACAGAGTTGGGGTCACCAAGGACCCCAAGAGCAAGAACAGTGCTTGGACCATAAGCTGCCTGGCATATTCCCCAGGGAAAAGAGGTACCGCATCACTCTTCTCCCAGAGCCAACTCCATGGCCAGTGGCCATCAGTCCTCGGAGGGAACCAACAACAGAGAGACAGGCCTCACCGGACACGGGAAGGAGTGTCCGTCCCCTGGGCACGGGGCGGGCAGAAAGCCTACATCACAGGTCAGACGACAACACCTTAGAGGACAAGGGTTAGCACCTGCCCAAAGCACGCCTTCCTAGGCTAGCCTGAGTCACCGCCTCAGCAGACACCAGGGCCCTGTGTGGTGGGCGAGACTTCCCAGGGAGCAAGGCAGACAGGGAAAGAGCTCCCTACAACTTGGAAGGCAGAGGAAGCAGTTCATTCCCAACTGACGCAACACAGCCCTCACCGAGGGGCTGGGATTTGAGACTTCACAGAGCTCCCGAGGGAGGGGACATGACTTTCAAGGGCATCTGTGTTAGATGGGGAGGCAGGGACTAAGGGTCAGGGTGAGAAGGAAGAAGCTGGACAGCCAGCCTTGTTGCTGGCTTCTGCAAGGTGCACACGTCCCAGGCCAGGGCCTGCCTTGGGCAGGAGGAACAGCAAAGACTCCATCTGGCCTGGTTCAGAGGAACAAGGAGAGAGAGCTGCTGCCTCTGCCTAGACCTGTGTCCCTACTTGCCCCTGGGTCTGTCACAGCAGCTGGAGTCAAAATCCAAGTGGGCAGGACTGAGTCACAGCTGTCTGGGACACAGGGAAGAGGGAAGAGAACTTTAGCCCAGACCAGCTGGCGACCCCAAGGAGGGCAAAGCTCACCCAGGGACTCCCTCCCGAGGTCATCGTCCCCCTTGGCAAGTCTTAGGGCAGCAGAGCGCTGCTCTGGCCTCGAGGCTCCCGGAGAGAAGAGGAGGTCGGCTTCCCCTGCCGTCAGCTCTTGTCCCCAGGGGCCTTGCTTTTGGTGGCCCGCTTGTTTCCCAGAAGTTTCAGCACCTTCATGGTCTTGAATTTGCCTTTCTTCTTACCCTCAGACTCAGCCTCTTTCTGGAACTCTACAGCAAAGAACAAAGGTACTCAGCCAGGGAAGGAGGGGAGCAGCGGGGGGGCAGGATGGAGCAGTGGCCAGTGTCACTGAGCAGGTGTGTGACCATCAAGGCTCCAGTCCATCCATGCACCAGGCCATATCACTATACCCAGTTTCCCTTTCCGCCCTGAGAGCCACACCTGTGAGAACAATCTGGAACCTCTGAGGCAGTGGTGCTCAACCTGTGGGTCGCATATCCTGCCTACCAGATATTTACATTACGACTCGTAACAGTGGCAAATTACAGTTATGAAGTAGCAATGAAATAATGTTACGGTTGGGGGTCAGCACAACATGCGGAACTGCATTAAAGGAAGGCTGAGAACCACTTTTTGTTCACTAGCTCAGGTCACCTGTACTGAGGAAAAGAGCGCTGTAGGCTACAACAGAAACACCAACTGCCAGGGCTATGGGACACCTCGGAAGCTATCTGCCCAAACCTCAACCTCTCACAAGGAAAATGTGTGCCTTTGGAAAGAAGCAACACCAGGCATGCATTTGTAGGTCCCTAATCCCAGGCTGGTGTTTTACAAAGTCCACACCCGGGAGAGCGCCATCACAACACAAGTGAGGTGAGGTAAGGCCTGAAGGAACCAGCTCAGCCACTCAGAGCTTGTGTCTGAGCAGGGACCAGCAGCCAGTGAGCCACAGGTGGAACAAGGTCAAACCCCAAGCCCCAACTCCCAGGATAGCAACCTTTGCCACTCCAGGAACTCTGATCCTGAGCAAGCTCTAGGTTCCCACGCCCCTAAGCCAACCTGCAGAGCTCTGGAAAGATATTCTGCTCAAGGCAAAACCATCCTGGGCCAAGGGCCCCTAGTGGGCCAGAGTCCTCCTGTGGACACAGGGAATCTCCTGGCTCCCCTTCCAGTCTGAGCCACAGTCACGTGGCTGTGACTGGCTTCCCTCAATTCACTTGGCTCCCAGCAACACAGGGCCTGGGAATCTGCATCACAACCACCATCCCTACAGGGCTTGCTCAACCTTCCACTTCCAGGCTACAAACACAGGCTGGCGCTCACAGGTAGTAGGTGCTGGCCCCCTCCTCAGGTTGGGTCTTACCTTTGTTCCTGATCATAGCTTCCACCATCTTGTCTTCCTCCTCATCCCTGGGGTGGAAAAGATACGCTGAGTGCCCACAGCAGCAAGGAGCCAGGCCATCTGTGAGTCCCTTCCAGCCTCCAGGCCCCACAGGGCTGGAGAAGTGAGAGGGAAAGCTGGCAGTGAGGGCGGGGCTAACTTTCCTCCCGGGCTCTGCCAGGGATCGGCTCCACCCCCCGGGGTCCCAGGCATGGCACCTCTGGCGGTCCTCATCCAGGCAGGTGACAATGGCATTGCGCTGCTCGATGAGGGTCATGAGCTCCTTCATCAGCGCCTCCTCTCTGTCCCGATCCTCCTCAGTCCAGTCCTTTTCTGCCAAAGGAGAAAGCCAGGGTGAGTGGTCGGCCTCTTCTTCACAGTAAGAGGACACACCACCTGAGTTCCTGGGAAGACTGCAGGCCATCCATACTGTGGGATGAGAGGAGGGCCCAGAGTGCCACTCACAAGCTCTTAGAGAAATGGAGGTAGTTCTAGAAAAAACCAAGGACACTTGGCTGCCCACCAACACCCTTCAAGAGACTCCCTGTAGGGCCAGAAATCCTCAAGGGCTTCCTGCCCCACCAAACACACTGTTCAAGGATGTTGTGCAGGACCAGCACCCCTCAAAGGCTTCCTGCAAAAGACATTTATTGGTGGCTTCTTATGGGAAGCTATATAGACTTCCTTGAGTAGATAGGGATGGGGGTGACAAGGAACTTCCAGAGGCCCACCTGCAGAAGCAGTGTGGTCCTAGTCACACAGTGGAACGTGTTCCCCAAGGCCACAGGAGGGGAACTGGAGCCAGGAGGATCCCTGATGTCACTAACACTTGCCACCATCCAGTTCGTCCCTCTTCCTGGCCTAGTGCTGTCTCGCAGGACCACCCTCAGGGGCCCACCTCTGTCTGGTCTCTCACCATCTGCAGGCTCCAGGGCTGGGCACCCACACTCGGTGCCCTCATGTGCCACACATCTAGAAATAAACATCTGGAAGCTACCAGGAACTGCCCCATTCCCCTATGATCTCTCCTTGCCAAAACTGAGGGTCAGGAAGCCCAGCCCCGTTCTGGGGACAGAGTATGGCTTCACAGTCCTGCTCTGCCTTTCTTCCCCCTAGAGCCTGGTAAGGGACGTGCTAATCTACACGTAGGGAAACTGAAGCTTTGGAAAACGAAGCCTCTGGCCAGCAATGCCCAGAGAAGGTGAGGCCATACTGAACCCAGGCAGCCTGACCTCCTACATGGAGGACTTTCTATGGGCCCAACTCCCTCAGGGTCACATGAGCCACCTTCATCTTCAAAAGCAGCCATCAGGGGAAAGCTAAATAGGACAGGGTGTACAGCCAGAGCCTCTGACAGTTTCATACCCACTCGAGTCACACTGGGGCTCCTGAGTGGTGGCCACACCCCCCAACCTCCTGCTAGTTGGAAGTGACTCACAGTTGGCAAAACATGCCTAGGACATTCTGTGACTTGGGGGCACTCCAGTCTTCTAAGTTCCCCAGTCAATGGAGAGGCAAGACTCCAGTCAGAGAAAGGATAGTTTGGTGTTGGAACAGGCACAGGGCAAAGACAGAGCTAGCAGCCCCTATACAAATGAAGAAATCCCAGCCTCTGAGTCCTTTTCTCTCTAACCTCAGCTGTGAAATGGAACGATGGGCCCACCACCAGAGCCTAGCATGATGTCACGACATAGGAAAGAGGTCAGAGCCCTGGATCCTTCCATGGCTCTGCGGGTCTCTACTAGAAACTATAGATCAGTGCATGCCACAGTCACACACACACACACACACACACACACACACGGCAGGTCAGCACATGCCAGACACACACACACACACACACACACACACACACACACACACACACACACACACACACGGCAGGTCAGTGCATGCCACAGCCAAGGAAGATCAGTTGCTCTTCTATCCATTCCCCCAATTCAGCCCTTGGCCCAACTGAAGTTTCCACCATGCCCAGATTCCACAAATATGTGGGTTCTAAGAGTCAAACTTGGGTCCTCACACTTGCACAAGCACGTAGTGAGCAAGCCACCTCCCCAGACCTTCACGGTTTTGTTTTGTTTTTCAAGACAGGGTTTCTCTGTGTAGCCCTGGCTGTCCTGGAACTCACTCTGTAGAGCAGGCTGGCCTCCAACACAGAGATCCGCCTACTTCTGCCTCCCTAGTGCTGAGAATAAAGGCCTGTGCCACCACTGCCCAGCTTATTTTTCAGGGTTTTTGTTGTTGTTGTTGTTTTTGTTTTTATTTTTCAGACAAGATTTCTGTGTAGCCCTCACTGTACCTGGAACTCACTCTGTAGACCAGGCTGGTCTCGAACTCACAGAGCTCCGCCTGCCTCTGCCTCCCGAGTGCTGGGATTAAAGGCGTGCGCCCCCACCGCCCGGCTCAGTTTTCAGTTTTTGAGACAGGCTCATGTGGCTGAGCTGGCTCACCTGGCTTGTTGAGAAGGCACCGTAGTTCATACTCCACATCGGCCTGGCGCTGCTCCAGGTCCTGCTGCCTGACCCTAAAGGGTGGGAAGAAGAGGAAGGAAACACTTCTTCGAGGTGCCCACCCACCCACACCGTGCTGTCATGGCAGAGGGTGCAATTCCCGGTTCTCCGCAGACCCCGGCAGGGCAGCGGGCAGGGCAGGCAGGACTCACACGTAGTTGAGTTCTGACTCTCGCCGCAACAGTAGGTGCTTCTCATGGATGAGCTTGAACCAGTCCACCAGTATGTCGTCCTCGCTGCCCTCTGGAAGCCAGATCCCCACTGAGGCAGAGCTGGCACCCCTCCCAGCTCAGCACCCCCAGGCTGAGGGGCTCCCATCGACCCACAGCCCTCAGCCAGCTCCTCTCTGCAGCCCCCTCACCATTTGCTTCTCCACGCAGCTTTTCCTCCAGCAGAATGCCACGGTATTCCAGGGGCATCCAGCTGGCGCTCAATATTGTCCATCATGGTGTTGATGTCCTCCAAAGGGATATACTGGTCAGCCTGGACCTGCCCCACAATACTCTGGTCACCCAAAGAGCAGTGGGCCTCCCTTCCACCTGCTCCCCTCCAACTCACAGAGTCCCCTGGCCACTCCAGGCTCTTGGAACCCAGGTCCTGTCCCACAAGGTGGCAGGACAAGAAAGCAGCACCCGTGTGGGGAAAAGGGCCAGACGGGCCGGTCATGAACCCTCCCTACCGAGGGCCTGACAGACTCCCAGTGAGAAGTCTAAGATCCTGCTCCAGAGGGAAGTCTCTTCCTTCTCTGTCACTCAATTCTTGTGGGACAGTGAGCTAGTGTCACAGTTACAGAGCACCCTGGGGGCACCCTTCTGAGAAGCACAACTTTCTCCTAGCACTCACTCTCTGCCCTTGAACTACTGTTAGAGACAAACATCCACTCACTGCTCCTGGCTACACAGGAACTCTAGGTTAAGTTCAACTTTCCAATAGGGCCACCCATAGGCCCCAGATGCTTAAGGCTGCTGAGGGGAGGGTGCTGGGCCCAGGCCAGCTGTGCCTTAGGGTCTCTCTGCCGGCACCTTGCGTTTGATGAGTGGAAAGCCATGTCCGGGGGCAGGTGGTCTCATGGGCTTGGCTCCTTTGGTGGCCTTCCTTACGGTTGGAGATGCAGAGGGAGATGGCTTCCGGTTGAAAGGATTCTCCTTGCAGGAAGACTGAAGGTAGAGACATGACAGATGGTTAAGTCTGAGAAGTCTGATCATACAGGAATACGGGAAGCAGGCCAGGACCCAAGTGGCAAGAGGAGGAGGGCCCAGGCAAGAACAGAATCCCCCAAAGTTCCGTCTCTCCACACTCATTCGGCAAATGGTTCCATTTCCAGAGGGCTTCCCCAGTCTCATTTCCCACACCTTACACATTTTCTGCTCAAGGGCATGGCTGGGTGAGAAGTTTCTATCTGAGCCCAGTGTGGTAGTGCACCTTTAATCCCAGCACTCAGGAGGCAAGGGCAGAGAGATCACTGTGAGTTCGAGGACAGCCTGGTTTACACAGTGATTTGCAAGACAGCCAGGGTTATATAGTGAGACCTTGTCTCAAAAAAAAAAAAAAAAAAAAGTCGGGCGGTGGTGGCGCATGTCTTTAATCCCAGCACTGGAGAGGCAAGAGACAGGTGAATCTCTCTGAGATCGAGGCCAGCTTGGTCTACAAAGTGAGTTCCAGGATAGGCTCCAAAAACTACGCAGAGAAACTCTGTCCGGAAACCCCGCCCCCCCAAAAAAAAGTAGGAAAGGGGGCGGGTTAAAGGGTCAAAGGGCTGAGCAGGAGATTAGAGGGTGGGGAATTAAAAAGTCAGAATGAGCCGGGCGGTGGTGGCGCACGCCTTTAATCCCAGCACTCGGGAGGCAGAGCCAGGTGGATCTCTGTGAGTTCGAGGCCAGCCTGGTCTCCAAAGCGAGTTCCAGGAAAGGCGCAAAGCTACACAGAGAAACCCTGTCTCAAAAAAAACCAAAAAAAAAAAAAAAAAAAAAAATTAAAAAAAAAAAAAAAAAGTCAGAATGCATTTTATATGTGTATGATAGTGTTCAAAACACAAAACTAAATAAAGTTTAAAAAAACAAAAATGAGTGCTTGCCTAACAAGTGCAAACAAAGCCTTGGGCTCTAGCCCTGGCACCACCTGCACACAGAAGGCTCACTTACTACATGCCCACTTACAGCTGAGCTCGTGCAGAGAGGTTCACCACCCAGCTCCAGGCCACCCATTCCCAGAGTCCCAGGAGTATCCACCACGCGGGGACAGTGGTCAGGCTATGAGGTCAAGGACCCCCACGCTTGACTACACAGTTCCAGTCTTCACAGACACGCTTTCTCCAGGGAAGACTTAAAGGCTCAGAGAGGCACAGCTCCCCCACCTAGGGTCACCCAGCCAGGCAACGCAACAGCAGGATTCCCACCTTCCCTCTAGCTAACAGATGAGAGGCCATTCTCCCCTCCCGACCCTCTCCTGCCCACCACGGACACACTCCCATCCTGGCTCTGCATCTTTCTGTTTCTCTAGAGACCCCTGCCCCCGGAGACTGCCCCCCGACCCCAGCCGACAGTGCCCCTCAGCTTATGGAAAGCAGGTATCACGCCTGAGGCCTCAGCTTCCCTTTCCTGGTGGGGCAGGCTTTGCCCTCATCCAGTCAAGCTCCAAGCTGCACAGAGATTCTCTGAAACAGAAAAAGTGCCCATGCCAGGGCTGGACATGGCCAGACTAGCATTTGGTTTCATGAGGTAGCAGACACAGTGGGCCTGAGACAGAAACAGTATGGCCACCCACAACCTGTTTCCTTCTCCAACTGCTTGACATTCTCTCCTAATCCCAGAGGAGAGCGAGATTGGATCCACTACGAAGACCCTGGGATTCCGCCCTCTCTCTCTGTTCAACACCTAGACGAAGTCCAGGAAAGCCCAAGGCCTCTGAGCCCTTCCAGGCTTTTTAAGCCACAGAACATTCTCAAATCAGTCTCCCACACAAACCATGCTTTCACTGCAAATGGAGATGGGCGAGCTGCAGAGACGCCTTAAGTGGTTAAGAGCACAGACTGCTCTTCCAGAAGTCCACAGTCAGGGTCCCAGCACCCACATCAGGTGACCACCAGACCCCCTGTAACTCCAACTACAGTGGTCTCACACACCCCTCTGCTGGCTACCATAGGCACTGCACTCACATGCACAAACCCATACACAGACACACATAATTTAAAATAAAGAAAAACTAAAATATATAAATAACAGACCTGGGAGGGTGCTTTAAGCTCCCCAAGTCCGTCACCTGCCACCACCCCAGCAAGATGCCCAGAGGCTCTTCAGAACAGTCTGGAAACTTGGCATTACCCAGCAGCTTACTGTCAAAGCATGCATTCTCAACGTCACACAGCAGCCAGCAGAGCTGGAAATACCACACTTACATGAGTAGCTGTGGCCAGATGCCTGGACAGAGGCCCAGCTAGCCCCTCCTCATGCCCACTTTACCTCTGAGAGAAGACAGAGCCTAGCAAGGGTCTAGGGTTTGGGCCTGGTCTGTCCTCCATAAGCATCCCCCATAACCCATAAAAGAGGAACCCAGAAAGGTGTGCATCCTGGGTCCTTAAGCCTGATGGGTGCTAACCTTGGCTCCTACACACTGGTGTGTCTACTTATGGGAGTCATTTCAGAACCTGCTGACCAGACAATGGGCCACGCAAGAACAGAAACCACTAGGCCTGTGTGACCTCGGGACTCCAGGCGTCCCATGTACACAGGAGGTGATCAGCAAGGGTCAGCTGCCTCACAACTTCTTGGCAAGAGCCGCAGTCTCTAGTGAAGGAGTCAGTCAATTTTCTTCTCCGTGCTTCATTCCAGATTACATTCTAGAACAATCCTATGCCTGTCTCCCCACACAGACTGGACCCCCCCTAGAGGACAGACACAGGATCTTAATGAACATGCCCAAGGCCTGGCATCAGTGAAGCCAGAAGGTGGAGGGGTAGACGAGGTGTGGGTGAAGGGCAGAGGGGTGGACAGATCCCACTGTGTCAGTAAACAGGCTGGTGAGCAGACAGACCGAGGGCTGGAGAAACACACAGATCAGGGCCTCGCACAGATGATGATGGCGCGTCCACTCAAGCAGCCAGAAGACAGGCACTCTTGCCCCAAGATGAGCCACACATTCACTAGCTAGAAGGCTGCTTTCAGCACCCAGGGAGCACTCACCTTGATCTGCAGCTGTGGGGATGAGCTCCCCAGGGAAGGGGCAGGGCTTCGGTTTCCAGCCAACAGGAAGGGAGTGGGGGTAGCACCACTGCAGGGCTTGGTGGCCTGGGTACCTGGGCTGCCCCTGGTCCTGGCCTGTGGCACTTGTTCACCACCAGGCTGTCCCAGCTCCCCAGAGGACGATAGGGAAGAGTTGGCTGAGGGGGCGACGGAGTTCCCGGATGTGCCAGGGACACCAGGCACGTGCACCGCAGGATCTGAGGAGCTCTTGGGTACGGCAGGCGGCTCCGAGGGCTCTGCTCTGGCAGCCGGACTGGAGCTCTCGGATGACAGGCTCTCCACGCTAAGGGCTGGTGACGGGGTGGCTGAAGGAGGTTCCGAGTGGGACAGGCGGGAGGCGTGGAGAACTGGGGAAGCAGAATAGCAATAACGTTCAAGTGGGGGACAGGACTTTTGTCCTCCCCCAACACATCCTGCTCCCAGAGCCGGGGGTAGCCCTGGACACCAAGCTTTTTCCTTCTGGATGGGCAAGAGGACAGAGAACACTAAACCCAAGCCAGGACCCACGTCACAAAGGCACTCATCACGCCACCAGACCCCATCTTGTACCCATGATGCTCTAGTGTGCTACCTTGTGGGCATACTTATGACCCTTCCACTTCCCCATAAGCCCCATGATCCTCCCACACCCAAGCCCACTCAAAGGCAAGCTGCTGGGGTAGGTGGGGTCTCCAGTACAGGGAAGGCAGGGGAAAGCAGGCTGGCCTTGGCCTCCCACACACAGACGGGAGAGACAGCAACAGCAGAGGGTGGGGGCAGCATCGCTGCAGTCAGGGCTGGGCCAGGCACTGCCAGGCACAGCTGCATCCTTCTGCAGATGATATGGACCGTGCCTCCAGGGCCATCATCGTGCTTCCCGGATGAAGCCACAGACTCGGGAAAGGATCCTCCTCAGTTAGGGTCACCCTTAAACACAGCTTTGTCCAACTTCAGAGCTCATGTCCCCATGACCCCAAACCCACCCAGCAAGGGGACCCAGGGCATAGGCCACCAGAGCATTGGCCTGTCATTGCTCCTAGCAGGTGCTTGGTCCCACAGAGCTCTCAGGCACACCCCTAGGAGTGGGAAGGGGACCAAGAGTTGAAGACAAATCTGAGGTTAAAACCAAAACATACAGCGTGCTGGGGTGAAGGGACTGCAGGGAGAGGAGAGGCACAGCACCTGGAGCTGACCCCATCTCATACATGAGGAGACGAAGGCCAGATCAGGGAAGGACCAAGCTCTAGAGAGCCAGGTAGGAGCCAAGCTGCTCAGTGGCTGGGGAGACAGACAGGGAGGCAGGGTTCAAGTTACCTCTTGCCTCATGCCTGTCAGAAGCCCCGTGTGGAGCTTGCCACACACCTCCCTGACTCCCTCGCTGAATGAGCATGAACAGAGAGTGTTAAAAGCTGGGGCTCCCATTCTGCCCTCCACTGCTCCAGCGCTGTGGAGTGCCTCCCCTGTGAAGTGGCAATAAGCCACCCCTTCCAGGAAATGGGAGCTCATGCACCCCCAGTGTACGAAAGCATGAAGAAGCCCCCTGCACCCCCAGACTCAGCACTCACCAAGTGGGGAAGCACTGGGGGCTCTTGGGGCGGGGCGCTTCTTTGTCTTGGGGCTGCTGGTGGGGGTGATGCCGTACCAGGGGTGCAGGGACTTGGGTGTGGACTCTGGCGGGGCTGGGGCAGGGCTTGGCACTGCAGGGGCTGGCTCTTCTTCCTCCTCGTCCTCCTCAAAGGGGTTGTAGGGCTTGGGCTCTGGCCCAGCTACTGGGCTCTTCTGGGTCCTTTGCCTCCAGGCCTCCATTCTCCACCTGTCTGCCCGGCGGCCCAGGACTGCTGCTGCTGCTGGGGGGCAGCGGGGCTGGCTTCTTCTTGGGCTCTGTCTGCACCAGTGTGATCCATGGGGGGTCCTTCCTTGGTGCTGGCGTCCTGGAGGGAGGCCACGGCGAGGGGTCAGCCTTCTGCTCTTTAGGGAGTTCCGGTCTGTCCCAGAGGAGGGAGAAAAGCTGCCCCTCTGTTCTCCCAAGCCTAGCCTCGAGGTCAGGCCAGGAACAAAGCTGAAATGGGTTACGGCATTCACATCCCTATAGGGCAGACACCTTGAAGCCCAGAGAAGACAGGCTTTCAATCGCACAGCTGCTGTCAATCCAGCCCAAAAAAAAAGGGGGGCTGTGTGCCATTTAATGACGTCACCCACCTCTCTCTGCCTCAGGCTCCATGGAGGCTTAACTAACATTCCGTTTCACAGGGTCCAGTGAGCTCTACCATGCTGTCCCCGAGTATGGCCACACACCAGGAGCTGCACAAACATTCACTGGTAGGACACTGTGGCCCGTTACCCCTCCCAGGGCGGCCAGCCTGATGAGGACAGCTCTCGAAGAGCTAGAACCATGTCCTCCCCAGATCGGGGGAGGAGAGAGGCAGGCACAACAGCTTTGCTTTCCCCGGCCTTCCGGTGTCTAGGAACCAGGCCCAGACCCCACGTCATGCAGGAAGAACAGGCTTGGGAAGCAAAGTGACTCGAGAGGTGGCTGTCCCCTTGGAGCACAGGCCAGGCAGGTTGGGGACATGGCTTTCTTTCCTCACTCAGAGAGGAGCCTCCCTGTGGGCCCAGGAAATCCTTTCCCCATCTGGGCCCTATAAACCCCCACCCCCCCACTGAGGCCTTTCGGGGGCCAGCATACCTCTCTGCCAGCTTGGGCGTCCCTCTTGGCCTGGGAACAGGGGGTTCCTGCAGTCTTCCTAGGCGTGAAAGGACAATGAACAGGCCTTCATGGACTGCGGAGGGGCACCGAGAGCCAGCCACAAGGAGTGTCCTTGTGCCCTACCTAGCAGGTCACAGACGGGGTGACCACAGCCCCTCCTTGCCCAGGCCTCAGGGAGATTAGATAAGGTAGGAGGTGAGTAGGAGAATGGTCAGTCAGAGGCTTCTGACAGGCCCAACTGCATGTTAGCTGCAAAATCCCAACCCAAATCCCCTCTGTCACTTACTCTATACCAGGGTATCTACCCAGGTGCCACCTCCACCTGGAAGCCTCCCTTAACTCCAACTATCTGAACCCCACAGCCTCGGCTTCCTTCCATCCACCCCAGCTGTGTGTCTACACTGCGCCATGTCACTTATGGCTACCTCTGCCTGTCACCCTTGCACACAACAAGGTCCAAACATGATCTGTGTCCCTGGTACCCCCATCCTAAGCCAGCCTCCAGGAATGCTGAGCAGATTCAAACACACAGAGCGTTCTGGCACAAGTCCCAGGATGCTCTCTCCCTTGGGCCTTCCTTGCCTTCCCTGACCGAACGATAAGGGATGCTCGGCATAGCTCAGGTTCCCGTGAGCTCCCGGCACACATGGAAGTCATCCAAGAATAGACCGCAGACAGCAGACCAGGAGTCCCCACCGCAGTTCCGATGTGTTCAGAGGCCCTGACCCCACTGGCCTCCCCAGGCCCCTTAGCTCTCCCTAGACAGATAAAAGGCACACACACGGCGGGAGTGGGAAGTTACCTGGAGCATAGCTGGGGATGAACCAGGACACATAGGAATGACACCAACATGCACAGTCCCAGAGACACTCAGAACACATCTATGTGTACACTTGCTACATTCCAAACCACGAGACAGAAACAAGACACACACACGGGACACACACACACGGGACACAGGTGGGGCCGCGGTTTGAGCTGTGCCAGTCTGGAGAACAACATGGCATGCAGGCACAGGTGACTGGCACACGCACAGGTGACATCACAGAGCACACACAGGTGCCAGCTCAGAAAGCAGTTCACAGGGCTGCAGAGACGCCTGCCTCAGCAGGTAAGAGCACTGCTGCTCTTCCAGAGGACCTGAGTTCGGTTCCCAACCCCCAGACGCGGTGGCTCACAACCGTCTGTAACTCCAGCTCTAAGGGATCCTATGCCCTCTTCTGGACTTTGGACTTTATGGGCACCTACAGTCACAGGCACACACATATACACACAATTTAAAATACATCTTTAAAAAAAAGAAGGGCCGGGCGGTGGTGGCGCACGCCTTTAATCCCAGCACTTGGGAGGCAGAGCCAGGCGGATCTCTGTGAGTTCGAGGCCAGCCTGGGCTACCAAGTGAGTTCCAGGAAAGGCACAAAGCTACACAGAGAAACCCTGTCTCAAAAAACCAAAAAAAAAATAAATAAAAAAAAAAAAATAAAAAATAAAAAAAAGAAGGAAAGAAAGCTGATACTATTCCTGGAACACAAGGCTATTTACACGCCCACAGGAGGGAAGACATTCAGCCAGCATGCCCTGTCCAGCTGTGCCCTCACTCACCATTCGAAAGGCCGGTGCTGACACCCTGCTCCGCCAAGCCATCCTGCTGCAGGCTAGACCGCGGCCGTGGTGTTGGGGGCGTCAAGGCTGAGCTCTCAGAAGCCTTCCTGGGGGCAGGTGTGGGCCGGCCAACAGGGGGACTGGCCAACTCCTGGGGCTTGCTGGGAAGAGGTGGCTTGTTCAGGGTCTGGGGCGGTACCTCGGAGCTGGCCTGGAGCCCATCTGCCTCAGCGGCGGCGACCGCAGCCACACTTGGGCTAAGGTCACTCTCCTCATCCTTGGCTTCTTCTGCTACCTGCTGCTGCTTTCGCTGTGAGAAGGGCCTAGCTCCGGACCGGCCTCCCGGACCCAGCCTGGAGCAGCGTTCCACACACACAAAGGTGCCTTCCTTGGGCCCGCTGCTATAAGAGCCTGGGAGCAGCGTGCTGGAACACTGCTGGCATCTGCAAAGACAGAGCAGGGATTCCCTTAGCAGGGCATATCGGCCAGGCCCTGGGTAAGTCCCCCCATCAGAGACCAAAGTGACTCCCTTACCCCCTCCTTCAAATGCCAGGCCCACCCTGGCTCGACACCCTGGACTTTCCAGAAGAAAAAGAACATGGCAACGGTCAGAATCAGAGGGGAACAGTAAACCACAGCAAATTAGAAACAGGAATTGTGAAACATGCTCTGCTGCAAGGGGAAGAGGTGAAAGTGTCCCGGGGTTTGCCCCAGGGGAAGATGGCCACTAGCCAGTGACTCAGGAAATCAATGTGGCTCCCTACCTACCAGGTTTGTTTTAAGTTTTTGTTTCGCTTTGTTTTTCAGGGCTCGGAACCAAAGCCAGAGCCTCAAAAAAAAAAATGCTCAACACTGTGTGCTCCCCTTAGGCCGCAGCCCAAGGTCATTGGTTTGGGGGTGGAACCCAGAGCCTTTGAATACTGGATAAGCACTCCACCACTGAGTCACTCCCCACCCCCACCCCCCACCTCCCACCTCAGGCTGGCTTGCTCTTAAAGGACTAGAATAAAATACAATAGATCAGAGTGACTCCTGTGAGGCTGAATGCAGCTGCAGGAGGCTCTTGTACAGGCCATGCGTCTACTGACGTCAGTTTCATACCATGGATGTATACCTAGTAATATCAAATGTGTGGCTGGGGAAGGGTTTACTTTTTAAGACATATTTATTTATGTGTTGGACTGTTTTACCTACATGTAGATCTCTATGCACCACATGTATACCTGCTGCCAAAGGAGGCCAGTGAAAGCATCAGATCCCCTAGAACTAGATTACAGAAGACTGAGAGGGGCCATGTAGGCGCAGGGAGTCGAACTTGGGACCACAGCAAGAGCAACCACTACTCTTCAGCCTCTCAGATGTACTCTTTAAAAAAGTCAGGGGGCCAGGCGGTGGTGGCGCACGCCTTTAATCCCAGCACTCGGGAGGCAGAGGCAGGTGGATCTCTGTGAGTTTGAGGCCAGCCTGGTCTACCAAGTGAGTTCCAGGAAAGGCGCAAAGCCACACAGAGAAACCCTGTCTTGAAAAACCAAAAAAAAAAAAAAAAAAAAAGTCAGGGATGGTGGTGCACACCTTTTTGTTTTTTGGTTTTTGGTTTTTTTTTTAAAGATTTATTTATTTATTATGTATACAGCATATATGACTGCAGGCCAGAAGAGGGCACCAGATCTCATTACAGGTGGTTGTGAGCCACCATGTGGTTGCTGGGAATTGAACTCAGGACCTCTGGAAGAGCAGTCAGTGCTCTTAACCTCTGAGCCATCTCTCCAGCCCCCTTTTTGTTTTGTTTTTAAAACAGGGTCTCACTTTGTAGCCCTGGATGTCCTGGAACTCACTCTGTAGCCCAGGCTGGTCTGAAACTCACAGAGATCCGCCTGCCTCTGCCTCCCGACTGCTGGGATTAAAGGGGTGCGCCACCATACCCACATCTGGTAAGGGTGGTAAGCACCTTTATCGCAGCATTTAGGAGACTGAGGCCAGAGAAATACCAGTTTCAGGCTAGCCTGGGCTACACAGTGAGGCACTGCCTTTAAACAAATAAATAGACAAATAAATAAACAAACAAATAAGTAAATCAAAAAAAGCACAAAGGAAATCCTGGCTTCCTCAGGTTGGGAGGACAGCTCAGTGGTAGAGTACTTGCCAAGCAGGCCCAAGACTGGGTTCAGTCCCAGCACCACAAAGCCAAAGGAACAACTTGGCATCCCCAGGAAGTCACGCTTAAATGTAAGAAAATTCGGTTTCAACTGAGCTCCAATGACGAGTGGGGGCTGGGCACAAAGCTGCGTGGTGGGATGCTTGCCCTGCATTTCCCCGGGCCTGGGTTCAAGCCTCAGCACCTCAGCCAAGAGGACTGCGGCTGCAGAGAGGGCTTAGCATTTGAGAGCACCTGCTGCTCTTTCAGAGGACCCGAGTTTGGTTCTGAGCACACGCCTCAGGCAGCTCACAACTGCCTGGAACTCCAGCTGGCTTCCAAGGGCATCCCCATATACACGTGGCATCCGCTTCCACAGTCATATACACATACATGAAAATAAATCTATCTTTAAAAAGAATGAGAACAGGAGGGGAATCCTGTGACCGAGTGGGTCTTTTTCTCCTAAGCCACAGACTGTTCCTCTGTAAAGTGAGGACAAGCTGAGTGCTTGGCATGAACAGCCCAGTGGGTGTGAACAACGGCACAGTGGGTGCTGACCCCAAGGGAGCCCCCTCCCAGGGGACGGGAGACGCGCCCTGCCCTCCAGCACTCACCGGAAGCAGTGCCTGTGGTAGAGCCTGCCCTCGGCCAAGTACCGCTGCACCAGGTGCACCCGCTGGCCACAGGCTGCGCATGTGCTGCTGGGGGGCTGCTGTTTGCCCTGCTCGGACAGGCTGTCTGAGGAGAGGTCGTCACCCTGCAGGGAATGGGGCACAGTTACCAGACATGCCGTTCCTGGGTAGTTCCCTCCCCGTCCCCATCCCAGCTGTGTCCCTCAAGGGTACACCAAGCTCCACGGTGCTAACACATGAAGATCAGAGTCCTAGGAGAGGCAGAGGACGGGAGGCGTCGCCTTCTCCCACACGAGGAAGCCGGAGCCCAGAGAGGGGCAACTTTCTCTGCCAAGCCAGTACGGAAACAGATCCGGACTTCCAGCTCCCAAGGAAGGGCTCCTGGTTGTAGTCTTTCCTGGTGGCTGCTCCAGCCAACCTTCCTTTCCTCCGGGTGGCCTTGGCTCTCCAGGAACTAACCCACTGGTGCCAGCCCACTTAGGCTGTCTGGGCACCCACTCTGGGCCTGCTTCTCTCTAAAGCTCATGAAAAGCTGATGCCCTTTGCAAAGGGGACTAACAAGGTGCCTCCCCACTTCTCTACTGAGCGACCTTGGACAAAAGGACTAAACCTCACTGAGTCATTGTTTCCTGTCTGGACAACAGGGCCTGAGAGATTCCGCTGTGGAGGGGGCCTCAGTGAAATCACCCTGAGTGGTTCCAAACTCGGACTCCACGGAGTCAATGGGAATATCCGCATCACTGTGCATCACTGTGCGTGGAGCTCCTGACAGTCCCATGATGGCAAGGACAGCATGTGGCCTGTCCACTCAGCCACAGTAAGGAACGTGACTCACTCAAACTCGGGAGAAAAACATCCAGGCCCCCTGCTACAAAATGGGGCTGGGGGACTGGGAACCTAGCAGGGCAAGAGCAGGGGATGCCCTCTGAACACGGCCATGGCCGACTTCCTCCCGCAACAGTCGCTGTACCGACAGCTGGGCCCCGACAGCTGCGCCCCGACAGCTGCGCCCCTCGCCTACTCTTGCACCCAGGGGTCTGCCTACCTGAGCCTCCTCTCCTGGTTGCACAGCAGGTGATGCAGATGTGGGGGAGGGGGATGCAGGGTCCTTTCCTGGTGTGGGGTGTGGTGAGACAGCGGCTACAAGACAGGAAAGAGCCGGGCGGTGGTGGCGGTGGCGGCGGCAGCGGCGGCGGTGGTGGCGCACGCCTTCAATCCCAGCACTCGGGAGGCAGAGCCAGGCGGATCTCTGTGAGTTCGAGGCCAGCCTGGGCTACCGAGTGAGTTCCAGGAAAGGCGCAAAGCTACACAGAGAAACCCTGTCTCGAAAAACCAAAAAAAAAAAAAAAAAAAAAGACAGGAAAGACCCTGAGGCAGGCACAGAACCTGGAGCCCAGGTAGGTGCCAGCCTACCCAAAGCTCTACCGCCACCACCTCTGGGCAGGACGCTCGGCTGCAGCTATATTCCATGTAAGAGCAGGAAACACGTCCACTTTCAAGCCAGGTGCCAGGGGCAAGGCACTCAGTGAGCCTTGCAGAACCTCCGTCCGTCACAGGGAGCCAGTGACCGACACTGTAAAGGACTGCCTGCATAACCATGGCTGCAGCAGGCCGGGTCCCAGCTTCTTCCCACTCAGGCAGAGGGATGACGCCTGAGTGAAGGCTCAGGGAGGTGGCCTACTCCCCGAGGTCGCCTGCCTGTCTCCAAGTGAGCAGTTGTGACTCTCCAGGAGTCAAAGGAAACGCCACACACATACCAGGGCTTCCCTCAGACCATCTCCCTCCTCCACCAGCTAGTGTCAAGTTGAGAACCTCGTCTGCACCCAAGGAACAAAACAAAACCCAACCTCTAACTTCTCTAGAACTGTGCACCACAAAACAGTCACTATGTGTTAATTTAACCAGTCAAGAATCCAGACAGCTCATCCATAGAGCGCTTGACTAGCATGATCAAGGCTCTGAGTTCAATCCCCAGTGCTGAAAATAGACAAACAAGGTATGCACATGTGTGTATGTGTGGTGCACACCTGTAATCCCTGTATCTGGGATGCTAAGACCAGATTGTGAATTCTGAGCTAGTCTGGGCTACAAAGCAAGACCCTGTCTCAAAATTAATTAATTAATTAGTTAATTAATTAAAGGGCCAGCGAGATGGTGCAGCAGGCTGATGATTTGAGCTCAATCTCCGACACCCACATGGTGGATGGGCAGTATGTGTGCACACAGACAAACTAAATAAATAAATGTGAATTTTTTTTATTTTATTTTCCTTTTTTTTGATGGAGGAAGTTTCAAGACAGGGTTTCTTTGTGTAGCCCTGGCTATCCTGAAACTAGCTCTGTAGACCAGGCTGGCCTCAAACTCACAGAGATTTATACTGCCTCCCACATTCTGGGATTAAAAGTATGTGCCACCACTGCCAGCTTAAAAAAAAAAATGGCTCTTACAGAGGACCTGGCTTGACCTTTGTCGGCACCCACATGGCAGCTCACACACACCTGTAACTCCAGTTCCAGGGGATTCAATACCCTCTGGTCTCCTACAGGATACTACACACACATGATGCAGAGATATGCTCAGGCACACACACACACACACACACACACACACACACACACACTTTCAACTTGCCCAGAAAGTACAATACAGGACCATCTCTAGGGGAGGGAACACAGGGTTAGAACACATCACAGCGGGTGGCGAATGGGATAAAAATGGTTTGTATCTAGGGGCCAACTGATAGAAAAGATACAAACTTTATCAGTGAAACCCCACAGGACACCCCCACCTGGCAGGCAGGCCTAGGAAGTGACTTCCGGGAAGGACTTAAGAGTGATACCTGATTGGTTACAAAGACACCGGGAAATAAAGTGAGCATGACAATACGTATCTGTAACTCTCGATTAGAAGGCGAGGAAGAAGCAGCCTGAGTTTCAGGCTAGCCTGGGCTACATGAAGAGACCATCTGAAAGGGGTTGGAGGAGGAAGAAGGACAGAGTAGAGCAGTGAAGCCTGGGAAACAGGAGGACTTGTGATCAGGGTCACACAGTCCACTCATGGACCCTGACCAGTATGCAAGCGACACTCAATCAACAGTACAGACTCGCATGCCCTTCTCCTACGGCAGGCTTGCACCCAGTAACACCACAACTAGAAAACACCCTCAGGTCAAAGCTCATCTTTTCTGAATCAACACACAGCACCCTGTAGATGTTAGTCATTTCCCAGACTGCGAAAGTCACAGTCCCGAAACCGTACCACCCAAGCTGGGGACCCGTAACAACAAGCATCCTGAGTCCTAAACCAGAGAGGGCAAACATGCTCTGCACACACCCCTTTCACTCCTCAGAGCAACCCTGTGAGGTGGGCTCTAGGCACAACCCTATCCCAAAGAGGAGACCAAGGGGGGGGGTGTTAAGAAATAGGCCCCCGTTACTCACAGACTAAAAAAGCAAAGAGAAAAGTCTGAGGCCACGTTCTTATCTCTACTGAAGCTAGACTCCTTCCCACTAGTGGCTCCGGGGTCTTCCAATGCAGCTGCCCTTGGCATGTGCAGATAACAAAGTTCCAGCATGCTCCAGCCAGCTACATGCATCCTCCATACACGTTTTTTTTTTAAACCTAGTTTAAAACTGTAAGGTTTTCTTTTGCATTTGATTACGTGTGTATGTGTGTGTCTAAGTGTTTCTTTGTCCACATGAGTGCAACACCCACGAAGGCTAGATCTCTGGAGCTAGTTACAGGCAGTTATGAGCTGCCAGGCATAAGTGCTGGGAACAGAACTCAGTCTTTTTTTTTCAAAACAGGGTTTCTCTGTGTAGCCCTGACTGTCCTGGAACTTACTTTGTAGACCAGGCTGATCCGCCTGCTTCTGCCTCCCAAGTGCTGGGATTAAAGGTGTGCACAACCACCGCCCAGCTCTGAACTCAGTCTTTATTAATAATTGAACCATCTCTTCAGCCCCTAAGATTTTAATGTTTATGTACTTTGGGGATAGGGAGCTTGAAAGTGCCGTGGTGCACAAGCGGAGGTCAGGAGGCAAATTTCAGGAGTCAGCTCTTCCCTTCAACTGTGTAGACTCTAGGAACTGAACCCAGTCATCAGCCTTGGCAGCAAGGGCCAGCTCAAAAACTGACTTTATTTTTTCTTAAGACAAGCTCTTACGTCTCCCAGGCTGTGTAGCTGACAAGGACTTTGACCTTCTGGTCCTCCTGCCTCCGTCTCCCAAATGCTGGGAATACAGGCGTGTGTCACCACCACTAGTTTACATGGTGCTGGGAACTGAACCCAGCCTGGGCTTTATGCACGGTGTGCAAGGACTCTTCGAACCAAGCTCCATTCTATGCATGGTGTGCAAGCACTCTGCCAGCTAAGCTCCATTCTATGCATGGTGTGCAAGCACTCTTTGAACCAAGTTCCATTCTATGCATGGTGTGCAAGCACTCTTCGAACTAAGCTCCACTTTATGCATGGTGTGCAAGCACTCTGCCAGGCTCTAGAACAGTATTTGTTGTTGTTTTTTCTCTTTCATTTTTTTGAGACAAAGTCTCACATTGTAGCCCTGGCTGACCTAGAACTCCCTTTGCAGACCAGGCTGGCCTTCAACTCACAGAAATCAGCCTGCCTCTGCCTCCTAAGAGCTGGTATGCAAGGCATACACAACCATACCCAGCCTTTTTTAAAAACATTTTTTATTGTTATTTAATTATGTATGCATGTATGCCTGTTCATGCCTGATGCTTGCAGAGATCAGGAGAGCATCCACTCCCCTGGAACTAGAATTATAGACCGTTGTGAGCCTCTATGTACATGTAAGGTGCTGGGTCCTCTGAAAGAGCAGACAGTGCTCTTAACCACTGAGCCATCTCTCCAGCCCCACCCCATCCCATTTAAAGAGACAGACTGGATTCTCCCCACACAGAGCAGATGCAGTAAACACGACCCACGTGGGCTATTCAGGGCCTGGTGGCAGCAACTGCCCCGTGTAGGCCTCGGGATTGTTTAGCTTTTGCACTGTGTTCTCGAGTCCCTTGCTTCCCCTCTCTGGACTCACTTCCCCTCTGCAGAAAGGAGCTGTCTGTCCCCAAGCTGTCCTGGGACACTCAGCAACCTGACAGGAACCGAGAGGAAGCCTGTCCCTCCAGCATACACTCTCTGACAGTGTCTCTATTCTCAAGCCGAGGAGGCAGGCTCTGCAAAAATGCTGGGCTGCAACAGCCCAGAAGAAGAGAGCAGCGTGGCAGGAAGAAAAAGCCCTGGGAAGTGCCAGACAGGAAGTGCGGTGGGTGAGGGGAGGTGAACTCCCAGAAGAGCTCACCTGGGCTTATTATTGCCTCTAGCCCTGCCCCCCGCCCCAAACACACACACACACACACACACACACACACACACACACACACACACACACACACAAGGCAAAGCAGGCAGGGTCTGATTCTGGGGCCTTGGTTGGCCTCAAACTTGAGGTAATCCTTCTGCCTCAGCCTCCCAAGTATGGAGATTACAGGTGTGAGCACCTCACCCAAGCCAATGCTGTTTAATATATGAACTAGCGAATCTACGGCCAGTGAATAAATGACAGGCTGTTTGTTTCCTGGCGATTTTTTTCCTTCTTTTTTTTTGGTTTTGCTTTGTTTTTTTGAGACAGGATTTCTCTGTGTAGCCCTAGCTGTCCTGGAACTCGCTCTGTAGACCAGGCTGGCCTCCAACTCAGAGATCCACCTGCCTCTGCCTCACATCAGAGACATGTGCCACTGCCGCCTAGCCATCCCGGCTATTTCTCTACAGCTCAGAAAAGAAGTCGACAGCCCAGGGCAGCCTCCCTGAAGGGTGGGGTCCCCTCTCACCTTGGCCAGAACTGGTGAAGTGGTTGTAGTACTGGGACACATAGGTCATGATGCTGAGACAGTCGGGGACACTCATGGAGACCATGTCACTGGGGTCCAGGAGAGCAGGGATCCCCAGCTCTTTTTCAGCCACTTCAAAGGCCTAGGGTGGAAGCAGGTACAAAGGTGGGGACAGGAGCAGCCACCGTGAGGAGGGGACAGAGAGACGGCAGTTAGTGACTACTTCCCACCCTGGGACCAGCTCATTATGAGGGGACGCGGTGACTACAGTACCATCCCCACATGGTGGCCTGAAGGGCACCCATGGGAAGAGGTGAGAAGGGGGGAGAACCAGGGCCTCCTCTAGGACCTGCACCAGCCCCCTTTCCAAATGCAGTGGCCCTCTGTGACCACCGCCCTCCCACCGCACACAGCCCTTTGGGCTCCCGTCCGTCTGAGGACTCACCAAACGGTTATTCTCGAAGACATTTTCCTTGGAGAGAGACTGGAAGTCGCTGCAAGAGACAGGAGGACTGGTCAAGAGAGGAGATGGGCAGGGTCAGGAAGGAGGGCGAAGAGGTGATCTTATCCTGACAGGACCAGCCTGGGCTCTGTAAGATGTGGGAGGGCGCCTGAAGAGGAAACTGAGGCTGTAAGCCCTGACGGAGCGGTCACTGTCCTCTGGAAGCAGAGTGAGCCTTTGGCCCCCGAAGGCACCTAAGCAAGGCCTGAGAAGGGGTGGGCTCAAGCCAAGCTCCAAGTCAGGGATGGATTTCCAACTCTTCCCCAGGAGGCCTTCTCCTCAGGCAGTGACCAAAAGGGCCAACTATGCATACGGACTTGCAACCATGCAGACGTGCAACGTGGGCATTCCCATGCAGGGGAGCCCACACTTGCCAGCAGCTCATCTGACAGGTGCTCACCCCATTTTACAGAAGAGGATGCTGCGATTCACGAAGGGAAGCTAGGCAGCCCTGGGAAGCTACACTTTTGGAACTTCCACTGAATGCCACAAACACAAGCCACACCAAGCACAGAACCCAAAACCCCATCCAACTCCAGGAGGAATGGTCCCTTTTTGTTGTTGTTTTGTTAAATTTGCATTATTTATTTTTGTGTGTATGTGTGCATAAGTATTTTCTTGTTTATTTAATATACATGTTTTCCAGCATGTATGTCTGTATCCCATGTGCCTGCCTGATGCCCAAGGAGGCCAGAAGAGCATTGGACTCCCTGGACTACAGTTGTGAGCCGCCACATGGGTGCTGGGAATTGAACCCAGTTCCTCTGGAAGAGCAGCCAGTGCTCTTATTATCCACTGAGCCACCTCTCCAGCTCCCCCTAGATGTGTTTCTTTTTTTTTTTTTTTTTTTTTTTGGTTTTTTCGAGACAGGGTTTCTCTGTGTAGCTTTGCGCCTTTTCCTGGAACTCACTTGGTAGCCCAGGCTGGCCTCGAACTCACAGAGATCCGCCTGGCTCTGCCTCCCGAGTGCTGGGATTAAAGGCGTGCGCCACCACCGCCCGGCCTAGATGTGTTTCTTAATGGGGTTCAAACTAGAACAAGTGAGACCCAGAGCAGAAAGGAAGATAACCCAGAGCTGCTAGTACTCAACAGTTGGTCTGTCCCATCAGGCATTCCCGGGGACAGCTTCCTTAGAGGGACTTGTCACTTTCCTAGTAAAGGGCTTCTCGGCTTCTGAAGTGGGGCAGGTACTGATGGCAGGCCCTCTCCACAGGGCGCTGGTGTGGGAAACAGGGGCGCTTGTTGGCTCCATCCATCTGTAGACTAGTGGGCTGGAGCGTGAGCAGGTGGGGCGCCTGTGGACCTGCTCTTTCGGGTAGGCTGTGTGACTGTGGGCAGGTCAGGAACCCTATCTGCTCCCACTGCCCTGAAGACTCAGGAGAGCCTCGGCCCTTGCTCCCAGGCTGGAGTGAGGGCCAGCAGGCTCTGAGAGTGACAGGGGCCTCCTAGACACCGCAAAGTACACAAGCTTTGTCACTGCCTAACAGCGACAAAACTTCATCTGCCAGCTACTTAGTCTCCCTGTGCCTCAGTTTCCCGGTCTGTGACACAAAACACAACTAATGCCCAACACAGGGGATTCCAAAACCAATGACATAAGGGCAACCTGTCTGGACAGTTTGGTTTCCTCAGCAGTGTTCCCATAAGGTGGGGCCACAGTTTGTCCCCACTGCTTCCCTAGGACCCTACACAGTCGCTGGTGTTTAGGAAGTGTTCTTGTCCATGTTTGTTGAAATAATACACAATGAAAACTGTAAAACTGTGGTAACTGGGACTGGGAGGCGGCTCACTTGGGAAGCGCGTGCCACACAGGCATGAGGACCTGAGTTCAATCCCCAGCACCCAAGTAAAAAGCAGGTGTGGAGGGGCTGGAGAGATGGCTCAGAGGTTAAGAGCACCGACTGCTCTTCCAGAGGTCCTGAGTTCAATTCCCAACACCCACATGGTGGCTCACAACCATCTGTAATGAGATCTGGCACCCTCTTCGGTGTACATAATAAATAAATACATCTTAAAAAAAAAAAAAAAAAAGAAGTACCACAAAAAAAAAAAAAAAAAAAAGCAGGTGTGGTGGCGCATGCCTGGGACCCCAGCACTGATGAGGAAGAGGCAGGTATGCATCCCTGAGGCTTGATGGGCAGTCAGAGCCTAGCCTAATTAGCCAGCCCCTGGTCTCAATGAGATCCAGTCTCAAAAAAAAAAAGTGGAATATCATCTGAGGTTGACCTCTAACCTACATACACACATACCAAATAAATATGCACACATACATAAACACACACCATACTACTATTCTTTTCTCAACTTCTTCCATGCCATCTCTGTGCCTAAATACCATCTGAGTTTGGGTCGCACAGATCTTTCTTTTCTGAGAATTTTCAAAGGCCGAGAAAGTTCCACTTGCCTCCAGAGGAAATAAGCATGGAAACGATGCCACATGGGCCCTGGTCTCAAGGGAATCCAGAAAAAGCTGGAGGAGAGAGAAGGGCATGGTCCAGTTCCTCACCAACACAGCAGGAACACCACATACACAAAGACACAGACACACAGACACACAGACACACACACACACACACCGGCCTGGCAGAGCCTGCACCGTCAGAGGCTAGAATCCTCACCCTACCTCTCCTCTTGAACAGATCTGCCCCTAAGTGCTGCGGGAGCAGCTCTGTGGTTGAATGCTTATCTAGCATGCATATGGACTAGGATTCAATCCCTAGCAAATAAATAAGTGGAGGACAGATAAACCTCCACCCTTCTCTGGGCTTTATGAAGAACCTGGCCTCAGTTTCTCTCCCAAGCAATTAGCCTGGTCCAGGCCCAGCCTCCTGTAGCTAGAGTTTTCCTGCCTTGCCCACAGTCAGGACAAATCTTTGTCATCCGCCAGTCCCACAGCCGCTCAGACCCAACCAAGTAAACACAGAGACTTATATTGGTTACAAACTGTATGGCCGTGGCAGGCTTCTTGCTAACTGTTCTTATAGCTTAAATTAATTCTAGTTCTCTGATCTTCCAGTTCACCCCAATAACTGGCCTCAGGTTTGATTTTATTAATAAGAACTTTTAAGATTCCTGCTACAGCCTCCCTAGCAAATGATTGAGTCTAGACTTCTGCTTAGGAGGGAACACCCTTCACATCTGCTTCCTGGACATCTGAGTGACCCCGAGACCTTGAAAGTCCTCAGGTGGGGCCTTGGGGCCTTCTCTTGACCTCTTCCTTTTCCTCAGGATGTCTCCCCTGGAGGCTTTCCCTGGAGGAACCACTGTTAATCACCTCAAACTCCACATGTGCACCAGTATGTAGGGTTTTTTGTTGTTGTTGTTGTTGTTGATTTTGTTTTTGATTTTCAAGAAAGGGTTTCTCTGTGTAGCCTTGACTGTCCTGGAATTCGCTCTGTAAACCAGGCTGGTCTGGACCTTAGAGATCCACCTCTGCCTCCCAAGTGCTAGGATTAAAAGCATGGGCCACCACGCCCAGCTAGTAAGTAGGCTTTTGCCTAGTTGGCTGTGGTCTCTGCCAATCCCAGTGTGTGGGAGCAGTGACTATACACACTTGCTGATTGGATGAGGGGGTTCAGCGGTCGCTCCCACCCCCACCCCCCACTGCCTAATAGCACCTCTTCCAGTGCTCAGCGTTAACTACATGTTTATTAACTCATTTAAAATCTTCACCACAGGGCTGTGAGGTAGGTCTTGTTATCAACCCCACCTTCCAGATGCCCAGAGAACCGGTGATTTTCCCCAGGGCTTAAACATTAGCACCAGCAGCCAGCATTTGGGGGGAGGGGGGGAATTAGCAACCTAGCATCCTGACACTCCTGACACCAGGCTCATCCCCTGCCTCAGGACTAGTCTCCAGCAAAAACAGAAGACCCCAGAGCGGCAGCTCCAAAGCAGGGGCCCAGCCCCAAGCTCTACTCCCCTGCTTCAGTTACCGCTGGGTCCCACACTATACAACCTGGCTCCCTTCTGTATCCACACTCCCCCAAACCCTATCTTCCAGGGCCCCTCGGACACACAGTAGTAAATCAAGCTGGAGTTGGGCAATCCCTTCGGGGGCCCTCCCACATCCTGTCCTATGGAAACAGGTCTGGGAGAGATCCAAAGAGACCCTGAAGGTTCTGAGAGCTGGGGGAGCCCTCCCTAGGGGGCTGTAAACAAGACAGACTCGGGACTCTTCTTCCAGAATTGCTACTGAAACGTGAAGCGAAAGGAAGGCAGACACCAGATGAACGTCACTTTCAGTTTTACGAATAAATCAATCAGTGAACGACGGATAAGAGGTTCCAGGGCTCAGGGAAGAAAGCTGAGGTAGAAGCCCATACAGTTTCCCAGGGGACCCTGCAGAGTAGCTCGGGTAGGAGGGACCCACTTTCCAGCTGGAAGCTACAGATTGGTGGCTGTCAACTGTCCTAGAGTCTTTTCCTCCACGCCTGGCTCCCCTTCTCTGCCCCATCGCTGTGCCCCATTGGGAACGGCAGGGCCACGAGCATACACCTAGTCAGAGTCCTAGCTGAGGGGGTGTTGGGGAGTAGTGTACCCCAAGTCACCCGATAGTCATGAATCTAGGAGCTCTGTGCCAGAAAGAGGGTTAATGCCCTACAGCGGATCAGCCCAAAACGCCTTACGGAGAGGTGGCTCCCCTCCGCCCCTCTGGGTTCTTTGCACTTTAAATGTAAATGACAAAAACCGCTGACGAGAGAATTGAAACTAATGACCTACATTCCCATGGGAGTCCGACAAAATATGGGACTCGGCGAGTCGGATGACAGCTTATATATAGAAGGGAACCGGGCTTAGGCTTCAGGGGTGGGAGGGAGCGACCGGGGAAGTGAATAAAGCTGGCGCCGGGCAGCGATCTCCTAGGTAGGAAGTGATCAGATCAGGTAGGGGCGGCCGCATTCTTTCGGAGACCCTTTCCGGTGGTTGCCCTTACAGATGTAAATTCCTACTGGAAAAATGACAGCCCTCCAGAGCACCTGGGGGTCTGCTCACACTAGCTCGAACTTGGACGCAGCCTATCTGGGGGGAGTGGCATAGTCTGATCCCCGACAGTCAAGTTTGGGGGTACTGTGCTCTGGCGCCAACGGAGGGAGGGAGGGAGGGAGAGAGGATCGGTATGTTTGCTGGAGCCCCTAGGAAGGGGTCAGAGTTCCCTCCTAGAGTGTGGGGGACCGGCTCCCACTTTCCCCCCCGCCCCTGGGTACTCTCGAGGTCAGAGCCTGACACCAGTGGCCCGCGGTGGGGGAGGGGGTGCGCGGGTCTGGGGATCTGGGCGGCCCTGCTCCTCCGCATCCAGGGCCCACGGGTGTGGTGGGCTCCTGGACCTCTCGGGGCGGCGTGTGCCCCCGCGTCACTGAGGGAGGCGGCGGTCCCCAGCCCCGCGCGCTGGCGCTGGCGCTCAGGCGCTCAGGCGCGCAGGCGCGCGCCCGCGCGCGCCCCCCCGGACACTCACATCAGGTCGGGCCGGTGCCGGTGCAGGATGGCGCAGAAAGCCAGGCCGTCCCGGAAGGAGCTGCTCAGGTCGCGGATGTCCACGCCGCGGTAACCCTCGCACTGGCGGCGGCACCAGGCCAGGAGAGCGCCCCGCGGCCCCGCCATGCTGGGGCCGGGCTCGGGACAGCCCCGACTGGGCCAGGGGACTCGGGCTGCGGCGCGTGCGGCTCCGACCCCGGGGTCAGGTGGCACCAAGGCTGGCGCTCGGGCTCCGGCCGGGGCCGGTTTCCGGCTGAGTCTGCGGCGCGGCTCGGAGGTCGGGGCGCCACCGGCGGCCGGGGCGGGGCCTCGGTGTCCTCTCGCTCGGCTCCGGCGCGGCGAAGGCTGCGGACTCGGCTCCCGACCCCGCCCGGCCAGCCTGCCCCGACCTGCCCGCGCAGCCTCCGCCCCGCGTGGCCCGGCTCGGCCGGCCGCCGCTTACTCACCACGGCCCGCTCTGCTCATTGTGGGCCGGCCGCGGGCGCCCACCGCCTCCGTCCCCGCCCTCGCTCGCCCGCCCGCCCGCGCCCGCCCGCGCCGCGGGGGAGCGCGAGGAGGAGGAGGAGGGGGCCCCACCCTGCGGCCCCGCCCACGCCGTCGAGCCCCTTCCCCGGAAGGGCGGACGCCCCATCACCCCTCTTCTCCAGACCGAGGCACCCCTTCCCAAGGGGAGCCCCTCCTGGCAGCGGGGACAACCCATCGCCGACTAGCCCCTCCCCATCGCCACCCGCAGACACCCCAGGCCCTCCTACCCTAGAGGCGGGACACACTCGCGGGCCGCTAAGCCGGCCTCAAGCTCACCCCCCAGAACCTGCAGATCCTCCTCACAGCCTTCTCTGAACCACACCCACCCCCAGTCTGAAAGAATCGAGCCGCTTTCCCAGCAGATCCCAAAACTCCATATGGTCACCAGATTCCTTCCATGCCTCACCACTTTACAACACCCCGATCGCTCGTCCCTCCACGCCCCATGGCCTGCCTAGGGAACCCAAACACCCCTACTACCACCACCAGTCCAGGGAGCTATGTAGTGACAGGCTGGAGACCCCACAACCAAGCTGGTCCTTCTTGGTAGTCCGGCTCTAGCTGTGTAAACTAGGCGATCTCACGCGCACACGCCCTTCTGGGCCCGCGTCCCTTCAACTTTTAAGAATGGGTTGAGCTCTTGCTGGAAGGACCTAGAAACAGACCACTGTCTCATGGTGTGTTCTGACCACACCTGGCTTTGGAACCTCCCCGGCCTGGTCGCCTGGTCTGCTCGTTTCTGAAGACCCCGGGCCAATAGACCCCTCCCCCAGAGGCCTCCCCTAACTACAGGCTGATGAATCAGCTGCGGAGACGGTGACATCACTCTGACCTATGCGTAGCTTGTAGGAATGGGTCTGCTGCTCCCCCTGAGGGAATGAACAGGGTCTTAGTCATCTGGAACAGTGTTTTGGAGTTCTATCAACCCAGGCTAAAATCCTGACTCCCTCCCTCCCCAGCCGTGTGATCTTGTATCACCTTGAACTATGTTTTCAGTATCTTAAAAATGGAGACAGAGCCTTCTGGTTCATGGCTCTAATCCCAGCACCTGAGAGGTGGAAGCAAGAGTTAGATGCCGGCCTAGGCTACAAGAGACCTGTTTTAAAAATAAAAATAAAGCTGGGCAGAATGGCCCACACTTTTATACAAGGCATGGGGGAATGCGGAGGCAGGAAAAACCGCCCAAGTTTGAGGATAACCTTGATTGCCTAGTACCAGGCCAGCCTGAGCTACAATGTAAAACTGTCTCAAAAATAAATAGGAGCCTAGCATGACGGCACACCTTTAATCTCAGCACTCAGGAGGCAGAGGGAGGTGGATCTCTGGGAGTTGGAGGCCAGCCTAAACAGCATAGTGAGTTCCAGGACAACCAAAGTCACACAGAGAAACCTTGTCTCCGAATAAATAGGGTCAGTAACATGGCTCATCAGGTAAAAGGTACTTGCTGCCAAGGCTGTTGACCTGAATTGAATTGGCTAGACCCACCTGATGGAAGGAGAGAACCAAATCCCACAAGCTGTCCTCTGACCTCCACGCAGGTCTCCACAATCATAAGCACACATATGCGCACACGCAAATAAATGTAATACTAAAAAAATAAATGTATAAAGCAGGAAAGAGCATCTGCTGCGCTTGTAGACAACCTGGGTTGGATTTCCAGCATCCAATCTGTAACTAGCCTCCACCTGTAACTCCAATTTTGGGGATCTGACGCCCTCTTGACTGTAGGGGCACCGCTTGCATGCTGTGCACAGACATATAGGCAGACAAAACACTCACTTATGTAAAATTAATAAATCTTTAAAAAATAACGAGCCGGGTAGTGGTGGCGCACGCCTTTAATCCCAACACTCAGGAGGCAGAGTCAGGCGGATCTCTGTGACTTCGAAGACAGCCCGGTCTACAGAGTGAGTTCCAGGACAGCCAGGGCTGTTACACAGAGAAACTCTATCTCAAAAAACCAAAATAATAATAACAATAATAATAAATCTATGCCTGACCCTCATTGGTTAAACAATTGAGATTGGCACTTTAAAACATGAAATAGACTGAAACCTTTGTACCTAAATTGTCACCTGGGTCAATTATCAAGGAAAGAGATTAACTTGAATTCTGCTTCCTCAAAGCCCACAGAATCACACTGAAGAATACAGTTGTGATCCAGGGGCTGGGGACACATCTGCCAGCTGCACACCTCTGAGTATGTCTGCAGTGAGAAGGCCAACATTTCGCCTTGCACCCTGACCGCCTGCCCTGTCCCCTGTGGAGTCAGGATCTAGGCATCTCCATTAAATGAAGGACTCGGGTTTGGGATCTTGAAACCAGCTTCTACAGTCTTCAAACCTAACTTTGGGGGGGGGGGGGCGTTAAAGAACACAGGGAGAAGGATCTTGATTTAGGGGCCAGCCTGAGCTATATAGCAAAACCCTGTCCAAAATATCGAAAATCCCAGAAATGGTCGTGGAGAGCCTGAGGTGACTCACTGTTGTTGATCTGACCGTGATCTCTCCCATTGCCTTAATAATAGCTTACACAGCTCAGCCCTTGGCCCCCAACAGCCTCTGTGGGCTTCCATCGCCTGAGTCAGCTTGCCGCATCATGAGGGACCGGCATGGCGACCAGAGCTGTGTGACTGCAGGCCAGCCACCTCATCCCAGTGAGCCCCAATTTCCCTCCCTGTAAGGTGTGTGTGGTGAGGACGATAATCTTTGCTCTGCCTGCATCCCGGGTTTGTGGGTAACCAGGTGAGATAACAGTGGTAAAAATGCTGTGTAGAGACAGTCAATCGAGGTGTGGGTAGAGGATGAGTCCCTGTTTACAGGTGAGGTTCAGGAGCCACAGGCTGATGGGCAGGGCAAAGTCAAGCCATGGTTTCAAGATTAGGACTCAGGGTCTTTAGCGATTTTTTTTTTTTTAAGATTTATTTTATTTATTAGGTATACAGCATGTATGACTGCAGGCCAGAAGAGGGCACCAGATCTCATTACAGATGGTTGTGAGCCACCATGTGGTTGCTGGGAATTGAACTCAGGACCTCTGGAAGAGCAGTCAGTACTCTTAACCTCTGAGCCATCTCTCCAGCCCGATGATTTTTTTTTTTTTAAGACAGACTATTCTCTGTATAGTCCTGGCTGTCCTAGAACTCTCTGTGTAGATCAAATGGCCTCAAAACTCAGAGATCTGCCTGCCTCTGCATCGCGAGCACTGGGATTCAAGGCGTGTCCCACTGTGCCCAGCTAGCACTTTGCGTAATTATGTATGCATGTGATTCTATTTCTGCAGTATTGGAGGTTGAATCCAGGGCCCTCTGTGTTTGCTATGCAAGCACTCTACCAGACGGGCTTTGGTAACAGCCCTACCTTATTTTTTATGTCAATTACTGAGCCTGGGAATGTGGCTCAGTGGTATGATGTTTGCCCAGCATGTGCAAGACACTGAGTCATATACCCAGACTCAGAAAAAAAAAAATATGTGCTTTAAGAGCATGGGTGAGCAATGTGGACAGAGTGGACAGAGCCAGAGAAGGTTTCTGGCTGACCCGGGCAAGAACCAGGGGCTGTACCTTCCGCTTGCCAGTCTGCCAGCCAACCTGCTGGGCAGAAAGGCTGTGAAGGAGATAAGAAGAAAGTTTTAAAAACTGACAACAATGTATTACTTTCTCCTTTAAGTATCGGAAGGAGGGAAGGGCTTATGTTGGCTCATGGTGTGATGGTCCAACATGTCACAGCAGGGAAGAGGAGGCTGCTAACATTGTGTTAACTTTTTCCGTTTTGTGTGTGTGTGTGTGTGTGTATGGTGTAATGCACAAGTGTGTGCACCCATGCACATGTGCACAGAGGCCAGAGGAGGCTGTCAGGTGCCCTACTCCATCATCTTCCACATTATTCTTTGGAGACAGGGTCTTTTACTAATCCTGGAGCTAAGCTGGCAGCCAGCAAACTCCAGTCATCTTCCTGTCCCCACCCCTGCCCCCACAACATTACAGTTACAGGGACCTGTGGCAACATTTGGTATTTTCTATGCTGCTGGTGATGCAAACTCAAGTTCTCATCTTGCCCACTGAGCCATCCCCCCAGCCCCATTTTTTTTTCTTTTTCCTACAGTCCAGGACCCCAGCCATGGGATGGCATGGTAGTTTTAATGAGAATGGCCCCCATAGGCTCATCTATTTGAATGTTTGGTTCCCAGTTAATGGAACTGTTTAGGAAGGATCCAGAGGTGTGGCCTTGTTGGAAGAAGTGTGTCACTGGGGGTGGGTTTTGAGGTTTCAAAAGCCCGTGTCAGCCTCAATCTCCTGTTTTTCTCTCTCAGTCTTCTGCTTGTGGATCAGATACAAGCTCTTAGCTACTGTTCCAGTGCCATGATAATCATGGACTAATCCTCTGAAATTGCATGCTGCTAATTAAATGCTCTTTTCTTTCTTCTTTTTTTTTTTTTTAATTCATTATGTATACAGTGTTCTGCCTGTATGCAGGCCAGAAGAGGGCACCAGATCTCATTATAGATGGTTGTGAGCCACCATGTGGTTGCTGGGACTTGAACTCAGGACCTCTGGAAGAGCAGCCAGTGCTCTTAACCTCTTGAGCCATCTCTCCAGCCCCTAAATGCTCTTTTCTATAAGTTGCCTTATCATGGTGTCTCCTCAGTTTTAGAACAGTGACTAAGACAGATGGTATCACCTGCATTCGAGGAATGTCTTCCTCCCTGACCGCTCACATGGGCCCCAGATGTATGTGTCCTGGGTGATTCTAAGCGGGCGGTGAAAATTAACCATCACAAACAGCAGCCAAAACCCACGGTGGATGGGAGAGCGAGCATATAATGAATCCTGGTGAGAAGGGATGGATAATCTAGGACCCAGGGCTCACATTCATTTTCACATGCAGGTTTCAAGGCAAGTTTCA